TTTCAATCAATTCATTTGGAATTTTTTCTTCTTCTCTCGGTTGTGAACCCCTTGAGAACCATTAGGACACATGGTATTACATGGGACTATTGAACTTTTCAGATGAATAAAATAATTCTTAAATATTTTAAAATCATAGCAAGATATCATAAACCATGTAAATTGTGATGACGATGATAGTAAATAATTGCAGCAGTTTATAAAAGTGAAGGGAAACTTGAATTGAACTAAAATGTGCATTGTGACCAATTACTATCCTTAAGGTTCTTAATGACAATTACTTAATGCGAAAATTAAAGGGCCTAGAAACACAGTGTTTAACTCAAGCCCTCTAGCATTGACTCTATTAAGTCTGAGAAACAAGCTGGTTCTGGTTTGGAAAACTACTAATCATGAACATTTCAAATAAGGATGATTCTAGAGAATAATACTAGGAAAACTGGTGTATTGCTGTCTATTTAAACACCTATGTACTCTACTGATGAACTATGAAAAGATGATATTCCTCTTATTTTCTGGAATTTATTTTTAATATGTTGATCCTAAGTATACTCTCCACACGGACCACACCCTACAACAAAACCTACAACTTCATCATGTGGAAATGCATTTTGAAATTTCTGTTTCAAAACTATGAGAATATTAGCAGGCAGCAGCCACCACCCACTCCGCCCACCACCACCCCCCCCCCCCCCCCCCCAAAAAAAAAAGAAAGAAACACACAAAACCCCCAACAAAGAGGATACAACATGAAAAATGGATCCTACATACAATATTTTGCAACACTTACTTGTAGCGCTTATATGCTAAACCCTTAAAAGCTGCTCGAGCATCAGCAGGTTCAAGAAAAACAACCTGAACATTAATAATTCAAGAAAAGAATTAGTAGAGAATCACTCTTTAACAACACAACATCATAGTAGACTAATATGATCAGTAATCTAGAAGTTTCTTCCTCTCTGCAGTATCAAAAGAGTGGGAGAATAAAAGTACATAATATGGCAAGTTGTCAATCAAAATTATTAGACTGCAATAATAAATGAAACAGAGCATTAAAAGCAATGTGAGCTAATTACTGACAGGTGTTTATAATCATCCCAGAGACCTCCCTAACAGCATATAATACCAACAAGATTTGTCACCACCATGTCCTTCCAAGTTCCAACCAAAGAAAAAAGCAGTATGTAAATGAGTTTTTACAGTTCTAGAGAAATATAACTAATTGTGCAAACCACATGTGTGTGTGTGTGTGTGTATTGCTACAAATTTTCAAGTTATATTGCTACAAATGAACACAATCATTACATTATATTGCTATAAATTTTTAAGTTTTGTTGGAATTGGAGGAACAAAACAGAGAGAGGAGCAAGCAATAAAATCATCATTTCCCTCATTTTCTCCGCAAACAAATAGAACTTAGAAATGGGATCAATCTAAAAACAAGGTGAAATTTGACTCACTTTGATATCAACGGGATTGATTGGAGAAGGTTTTGAAGAGAGATGGAGGAGGGAGGTAGCTGCTGCAACTGGGTTTGCAGTTTCTGCCTCCCAAACTGATTAAGTGGAGTAAGAAAAGTCGTTGACTTTGCGCGACGCACTTGCACATGCGTCGCGCAAAACACCTTTGCGCGACGCACTTGCACATGCGTCGCGCAAAACACCTTTGCGCGACGCATGTTTGAGCGACGCACTTGCATATGCGTCGCGCAAAACACCTTTGCGCGACACATGTTCACATGCGTCGCGCAAAGTTGGCAAAAAAGCGGCAAAACATTCTTTGTTTGGCGCCAAGATATTGCGCGACGTTTTGTACGTCGCGCAAACGGCATTTGCGCGACGGTACTTTGCGCGACGAAGGCTGGCGTCGTGCAAAGTGTTTTGCGTGACCCACAAGTTCCTGAGTCGCGCAAAGGCTGTTTGCGCGACGCTTTGTCTTTTAGGTCGCGCAAACATGCTTTGCGCGACGAAATTTGGTGCGTCGCGCAAGATTCCGTCGCGCAAACATTTTTTTTTACTAGTGACGACGTCGTGGGTCTTGGTTGTTAAAGGACCTTTTTTTTTCTCACTCAAGTTACATAACATTATTTGTTTACTCTTGGCAAGTTACATAAAATAATTTGTTCACTCTTGACTTGAATTATTTGTTTACCTCTTGGCATGTTACATAAAATGAAAAAATTCTTTGTTTACTTTTGGCAATTGCATAAAGTTATTCGTTTACTCTTGGCATATTTCATACAATTATCCCTTTACTCTTAACATAAAATTATTTGTTTACTTTGGCATATTACATATAAATATTCGTTTACTCTTGGCATGTTACATTTTTTTTTTTTACTCTTGGCACGTGACATAAAATTATTTGTTTACTCTTGGGCATGTTATATAAAATGACAAAATTATTTATTTACTCTTGCAAGTTACATAAAATTATTTGTTTACTCTTGGCATATTACATACAATTATTCATTTACTCTTGGCAAGTTACATTAAATTATTCTTTTACTCTTGGCAAGTTACATTAAATTATTCGTTTACTCTTGGCAAGTTACATACAATTATTCGGTTACTCTTGGCATGTTACATAAAGTTATTTGTTTACTCTTGGCATGTTACTAAAAAATTTTGTTAATTCTTGGCAAGTTAAATTAAATTGAAGAACATTATTTGTTTACTCTTGACAAATTAAACAACATTGTTTACGTTTGGCAAATTAATACGTAGCTACCAATCAAGCACATAAAATTATTACAATATGTATTTAGTGTCTCAGCAAAATATGATAGGGTTTTTTTTTTTTTTTTTTTTTTTTTTTTATAAATAAGAAAACAACCATATATATTGATTACACAAGGAAGAAGCTAGGCCCGCCCGTCCTTCCTACGATCACGAACTAAGAAAACATAATTAATAATTGTGTAGATTTTTCGATGTACAAAGAAAAACAAAACTCTAGAAAGAGAAACCCTAAAATAACCGTGGCTTAATTGATCAACTCTAAGAGCAGGGATAACAAACGGGGAAATAGTTTGATCCACACATGAGCTTCATTCGATGACCTAGGTAGGTTGAAGCATCCACAGGACAAAGTTAGCTTCACCAAAAGTATGAGACGAGAGAAGCGTATACGGTTGAAATGATAAGCTAAAAACTCGACATCCTGAATAATGGTATTAATTCCCAAGGAAGTGTGCATTTTCCTTTAACACAAATAACCAGTTAAGAGTCACCTTCCACCAATTTGAATGTCTTATGGCCAGCCAGAGACGAGCCTGAATATATAAGACCATCACGGAGCGAAATAGTACTATCATTAGCTTGGTGGTGATGAGTGCTTGCAATTACAGGAAGGTGAATTAGCATGAAGGGGGGAAGGACAAGAACTACTCCGAATAGCTTTGGCAAAGGAGCAATGCAAAAACAAAATTAATGATCTACATCTTCGTCATGCAAAAAGATACACAAGGGAATTGAATTTTCAATTACGGTCTTTAGTTCTAAGTCTTCCTCTAGCAAATAATTGTGCAATTACAATCATCAAGTAAAGAATCTAAAAGAAAATCTTGAGGTTATTTGAACCAAAGTTGCTCTGCATCAAGAGACATTCCCAACTAAACCAAATCGTGAGAATTTTTTTAAATGGGAGTGATTTTCGATCACTCTTTTTAGCTTCCCAAATACTCCTCTTTATTTTATGATCATCGCATTGAATAAATCAAACAGAATCAATGACCAAGATTAAACTGGGGTGTGCAAGAGGTGAAAAAAAGTGTATGAAAATCACTTCCCACTTTTAAAAAATTGAATCGCCAACTTTTATCATAACAAGGTTCCACACCTGAGAGTGCTCTTGATTAGTCAATATGTCAAATCATGCTATGTTCATGTAAATCTATATTAAAAAGTTGAGATAAAGTTAGTGGTCGTAGTAGCATTACTGTTATCTACAAGATATCATAGTAGCATTACTGCTAGTGTTCTAAAAATCGGCCTAGGCGGCCGCCTAGGCGCTAGGCATTGTTATGTTGATGCGATTAGGCATGAAGCGTTGAGGAAAATTGGGGAGCTGTTAGGCTCCAACCTAGGCGCTTCTAGGTGGTTTGGGCGGTCTAGGCGTAGTGAAATGGTTTCCTGGAAAGAAAGTCCAAAAAGAACCCAGAATCACAAAAACTTTCCCATCGCTTCAACTGCCTTTCTATGAACTCCATCTCCAAGAGGAACTTACAATGTAAAACAAAAGAAGAGGAGAAAAAAAAAAAAATATAACAAGAATTTATAGAGGGAAAACGGAAAAAAAAGAAGAAAAGAAGGGAATGTAAAGAAGATAAGAAGACGGGGAAAAGAAAAGAACTTAAAAGAAATCAAGATTTTCCAATTTTCAAGGAGTTAAAGTGGTCTCCTTCGTTTGGAAATCTCTTGGGTGATGTGAGGGCTTGATCCTAATAGAGGCCCCTTTTAAAAATTATAATAATTTTAGCCGTTAGATCAAATTTCAAGAGTCCGGATCACTTGATCCGCGAACTTTGGTGAAAGGGAGGGGCCACACTCGGGCTTTATGAAATGGGAAAGGAGAAGAATTTTATCGTTTTTATGAACCACTAACCCACTACGTGGATATTTACTTTATTATTTTTAAATTAAATACTAATCATTCAAAATGTCTTAAATTATTACTTTATTTCTAATTTTTTTTTTTTTTGCCAAAAGGTAGATTTTGTTTAATTAGTCACCGATGAAATTTGAACACACGCGCCTTTCCACCACTGTGGTAAAGAGCCGTGTGCTTATTACTTTATTTCTATAACTTAAATTAACTTTTTATAATACAGATTAAATTTTCTTAAAACCGCCTAAACGCCTAGGCGCTAGGTCCCAACTAGCGCCTAACGTTTTTTACAATCTTATTGTTATCTACCAGATATGCGGCATATGCTGTATGCGTACCGCAATAATTTTTTAGTAATTTTTTTTAAATGGTTAGAAAAATTTTTATTTATATCACCAATAATCTCTACACGAGCAATGACCATCTCTAAAGCGATGAAAGCAATTGTTATCTCTCACAATAATTTCTCTACCTACAATGCCAGAAACGAACTTAATTGCACCATGGAAATCCCCACAGATCCTAAGGTTCTTTGTGATCCTTATAGGCACCCTGGGAGGGATGGATATGAGTCCAAACGCAAGCGCAATCTTCTCTCTGTGGTACCAAACTTCTGATACTTTTTCTTTCTCTAAATCAAACAGCGCAAAATTGGTGTCGGCGATGTACCCAGCTTCGTCCATTTTCCTCCACAACTTGGTTAGCATTGCCTGAATCTCCAAATTCCTTTCGTGGGAGGTGTCCTTTGCTTGGAAGACATAGACTGCATTCTTGACTGCGATCCAACTGTAGCCTGCACCCTTTTTTATCCCCACATCCTTCATTTTTTTTCTCACAAGCGTTGCTTCTTCCCACCTGCTTTGATTCATTGCCAAATACAAATCAATTTGTCTAAAGAAAAAGGGCAATAAACGCCACAAAGTGTGTAGGATTCTATTGCAATGGAAGTTTTAGTACCTTCCAGCAGCTGCAAACATGTTAGAAATCACCGCATTGTTGCCAGAGTGACAGAGTCTTTAGGATCGAGTTCAAATAACTTGTCAGCTGCAATCTTCCCCAATTCTGGCTTCCTATACATTTTACAACCCCCTAGGAGCCCCGTAAATGGAAACCGTTGGACAAATTGGCATCTTTGGAATAAACTCATAAGCTCGCTCTACCACACCAGCTCGGCCTTGCAAGTCCACAACAAGTATAATGCTCTGCCCCTGGTTCAATTCCATACTTAGCTTTCATTGACTCAAAAAATCTGCATCCCCATTTGCACGGTCCCTGCTCTGCTACATGCTGATAATACACAGACCAATGAAACATAATTTGGTTTAACCTCATGACTTCAGGCGCACATTTCCTCGAACAATGCCAAAGCCATGTCAGCATGTCCTTGATGCGCATATGCACCTACCATTGCATTCCAAGTGATCAAGTTCCACAAAGGCATCTCATCAAAGGCACGCTCGGCATCTTCTATGCTCTCATATTTTCCATACATGTCAACAAGTGCGCTCCCAACAAATACATTTCCCTCCACACACGCTTTCACTGCAACTGCGTGAACTGACCTACCCTGTTCAATCCACGCAACCCCAGCACAAGCGCTTAGAACACTCGAAACCATGAAGTCAGTTGGCTTAACGCCTTATTCCCTTGCCCGCGAAAATAACTCGCATGCCTTCTCCTCCTCATCATTCTGCACACAAGCAGCCACCATAGAGCACCAAGAAACAACGTTCCGCTGACCAATTCGATCAAAAACCATCATTGAACACCCAAACTCCTGTCACTTCCCGTAAAAGTCAACAAGCCCATTTAAAATTGACACATCTTTTCCAAAACCACATCGCATAACAAAACCATGAAACTGTCTCCCGAGCTCCAAATTCAACATATCTGAGCATGCATTGAGAAACGCACAGAACATAATCGAATTAGACTCCCCGTCCGCCCACAGAAACTCAATAAACTTGTAAACTGCACTTAGGGGCTGCCTATCAAGCACAGCATTCTGATCATGCGGGCATGCGCCACCCGACTGAGCAGAGGTGAATGAGTCGACACAGCGGATTCGACCAGGGAGGCGACCGAGTTGGGAGTGAGGGATGGCATTATTGGTATTTACGGTCATGGTTGAGGGGTAGGTAGGGAAATTAGGAGAGCATGAAGTGCGTTTGTGAAATTTTTTCACTGGGTTTTTTGAACGAAGTGAATTGTTGCCGCGGCTGTGCGTTCAGTTCAGTTAAGTCAGTGAGTTTGGGTTTGGTGGCAGCGCGGCGGGAGAAGTTACGAACTAGTTACGTTTAAAAGCATGTGGGTCTGCCATGTCTATTGGTATTTTTTTTTTTTTCGTAAGCAAGGGGTTTTAGATTCAAACCACATTATTACTTGCTCATTGTAATGTTAAACCCACCTCTCACCTTTAGTGTTAATAATACAATTTATTAGGGAAAAAAAAAACCATGTGGGTTTGGATTTTCTAAGAACATCTCCAATGTGTCCAACTACCACATGAGGATTCATTTAGGCAAGGGTGGAGCCAAGTACAAGGCTCCCTTAGGCTATAGCATAGGGAGAGTTTGGTTCTTTAAGTTTAAAAATATTAATTTTTAGGTTAGTTTATAATTTTTAATTGTCATATTTCACTTAACAAGTGAAATTTTTTATTAGTAAGATTGTTTTTAAGAATAATAAAAACTAATAAATGTTAAATAAACTCATCACTTTAACCAATATTATATTTAATAGTAATAAATTAAAACTTCCATATCACAAATGGTTCATTGTTTTATTCACTTGAAAGCTTTGAAGGCTAGAAACCTAGAAAACATAATATAAAATTCTCGCTTCAAATTACTACATTCAAGTTTTTACTACGAACTATTATTAGCACTCCAAAAATTTCATTTTACACTCCACGCAAGTATATTTTTCTTTCTAATTATAGAAAGTTTGGAGTGCCAAATGAGATTTTAGGAGTGCTAATGACAATTCTCTTTACCATTATATAACTTTATGTAGGCAACATAGAATTAAAAATTTGATTTCGTAGTAATAATTTTAGTTTAGCACACTCACCGAATAATTTCTAGCTACACCGTTGCATTTAGGGACTTGAAGAAATGTTGCCTCTAATAGATGAGTCTATAGAGCATCCCCAGCAACTCTCAACCGAAAAAAATCATCTCCACCGGTCCCAAAATGAGAGGGTGATTGGGCCAAGGGCATCGGCCCTTTCACTTGCCTCCGCAACTTCCACCTAGGCATTGCACCCGTTTGCTCACAATGGGGCCAACCAATGTACATAGTCCAGTGCCCTTGCAGACGCTTAGATTTCCAACTGTTCTTTCATATGGACTATTGAATTTCCAACATTAAAAAGATTGAAATATAAATAGAGATAAGGAAATCTCAACATTTCAACCAAAATCATAGAGTATTTAAACCGGAATTTCAAAAAATCCAATGAGATTCGAAAGAATCTTGGTCAAAAATTTGTCGGGGGACGATGACCCATGGGCAAGGTTTAGCTGCATGCCAACCTGCAAAGGTGGAGACGCCATAAAAGGCGTCGGGGTTCTGGGGTTTAAACTTGGAGCCCTTGGCTTTGGCTTGTGGTCTCTCGATATGGTGCAGCCACGTAGGTTGCAGGCCTAGTGCTAGTGGCTCGACGCGATGTGGCTAGAAAGCAGAAAGCAGAAAGCAGTTGCTAGCAGTATGGTAGCGATAGGATGGGTTTCTTGGAATCCTAATTTTTATTTTATTTTTTCAATTTCCAGATTATAGATTAATATAATTTCATGCATATTCAACATATAATTCAATGCTTGCACAAGAATTTGATACAATTCATGGCAATATCAATTGACATAATTCAATAATTATGGATATAATACATACACAATTTATGTAGAATCTAAAATTCGAAAAATATAAAGTTGGGTCATGCATTATAGTGAATGTTTACACTATCAAAGCTGCAAAAATATCAAGATAAAAACCTTTGTTTTTGAAGAACTTGATTGCGTGATGATATTGATGAATTGGTTTGATGCAGAAAACTTTCACGTCAGATTCCCAAGCGCAGCAGTAGGAGGATGTGTTATTCCGCCTACACAGTGCCTTTATTTATAGTAATAAGGGAGGGAAGAATCCTTCTTCTCTAAAGAATATAAGTCCTACTAGGGAAGAATAATTAATATCAAATCTAATCTAGGGTTTACACAGTCACACTTTAAAACAATGTTTATAACAATTTAGCCTTTCTAGATGGAATTCCAAACAAACCCTTAAAGTTATAAATATTTTTTTTATCAAGGGTAACATACATTACCAACAACAAATTTTACAACACAGAGGACCAAATTTTACAACAAAAAGGACCAAACACAAAAAACACAAACCAACAACAGTGGTCCGACCAAAAGTTAAGACCGAAAGAAATGAAAACTCAAAACAGCTTGTTCCGCTGCATCCTCCGCCATAACCACCGCTGCAATCACCAAAACAGCAGCCATGCATGTCGATCTACACAAATTCTTGCCCCTAATTAAGTCTCGCCTCATCGATACCAACATCCAATCCCAAGCTTTACTCCTGGTATAGCTACATACAACTTCATTGGCCACTTCATCAACCTAATTGTTTACATCATTGTGAATTAACTTTTGTTTTCTAATGTAGCACATAATTGATCCGTTTTTTGCTAAAATATATGCTAGTTTGATGACACGTCAACTACCATATGCCCTATGGGCGAAAAATAAGAATTTTACTTGAGAACACCCTAACCTTGGGGTGCCGTTACAATGTCCTATGGTAGTAGATGCCTCAGAATTATAACAATGTGATTTATCTTTTATGTAGCAGTTAGATAATTTTACATATAAAACTTTACATTATATATATATAGCGAGGGCAGTCTTACTTTATAATCACAACTCCTTTGCCCGGGGGTCGGAGTGGAGGCTCACCAAGCCATCGAGTCTGCAGTCTGTTTGCGCAACAGATTCACTGAGGAGCCAAAGAAGTTGGTTTTTTATTTTTAAATGAGTGTATAGATAAGGTTTGTGAACATAGTTTAGGTAATAAATTTGGGTTTAAAAAGACATTGATAGTTTAATTAAAAATATATAGGTGAAAGTTGGGTGTAGAAAGAAACTTTTGTGGGTACAAATAAAAGTTTGCTTATTTCTATGCACTATTTTATGCTTTACATGGCATACACTAATATGGTGACTTAATTCATATGATATAACTGGAGTTTAATTAGAGTCCAAATATTGATAACTGCTCACATGTTATAATTTGAATAAATGATGTGAGTGTCATTTTAAATTGTTAAAGTGTATAAGTGACAACACGTAATAAATTTGACAAACAAGAAGGTTTTCGAAAAATGAATAGAGTTAGTCAATCTTGTCATTTTCTCTTTATAAATTGTTGAATAATATTTAAATACTCGTTAGTGAATACTTTATATACTTAATTTTTAAATTTGGCCCGATGATATACTAACATATAATGTTTTATTGTTGTAAAATGATATTGCATATGTTATTTAATTTTTCTTCAACGTTGAAAATAAGAAACACGTGTCATCATTTAATTTTTCAACACTAAATTGTTGTCACATCTCTTAAACTTTCACAAAGGAGATCATACAGAGTTTCGGTTTGGCCTAATTGAAAAGAAAAGCTAATTAGTTAGCATAATACAACGCACATATCATCAGATTTGGACATATCAATTAATTAATTAACCAGGCTGGTTAAGGCCAACTCATGCTCACAAACAAATTTCCTTATTTAAATAAAAATCGACTTAATAAGCTCTGTATTATTATAAAGCTTCACACATGAAAAAACCATGTGGGTAATATGCTCACTAAGGCCTCAGACAAAAAAATGCCAAACTATGTATAAGTTGTTCCGTTTCCGACATCTCACACTTTTTCCGGGTCTCTCTTTTCACTCCACGCATTTCGCTCTCTCTCTCTCACTTTCTCTCTCAAAACTCCATTACAAGCCTCTTCCTTTTTTTCTCTCTTTGCACTCCTCGATCATCGTCCACATAAAGAGAGAAAGTTTTGTTAGGTTATTTTGATCGAGCAGGGTGGAGACGACCTAGTACTTAAGCCATGGGATCCATCAACGGTGGACGTGTGATAACAACTTCATCATCATCTATCGTAGAAAGGTCCCATGACCTTGATCGTTTGAGAGAAGGCGTGTCGATGGTTTTGTCACAATGGAATGGCCTAGAAATGGCCGTCCAGAACCAATGGGGTGGCCGGGACTCCACCCACAAAGCTCAACAACTCTCTGCCGATATTCTCTCTTGGTTCTCTCAATCTAAAGGTTCTTTCTTTTTGTCCGATGCATCACTTGCGTATAACTTTTAAAATCTTTATGGTTATTATCGCTGTAAAGTTAGATTGTCTGATAAAGAGAATATTTCCACAATATACGTGTTCATGTGCAGCGCCACGGTACGTGGAAGATCTAGAAAATTTGCTCCATGAACGTATGCTTCTCTCTTTCAACACAGATATTGAGGATGGCAGCGTCGAGGAGGTATATATGAATCATTTATATCTACTACAATCCTACTATCTCATATGATTTGTAAATAATTCCACTACTTAATTAGAATAGATAGGCTTTGATTAATGTTGAGATAGCATTACATAAGTAATAGATGTTCCTGTATATGATCATGATCATCGGTAGGGAAGTGATTTCCTTTTAATATATATTTCCATTTATATCTAACTAGACTCAAATCTTATCAGATAATACTTAGGTGCTCACTAATGAGTACCTTATATACTCACTTTTTATTATGACTCAATCAAAAGATGTCACGTGTTTTCTGTTTTTTAAAGTCCAAGAAAATTGGGTGCACTTTTGCTCACCACCCTCATTTTATTTATCATTGTTGTATGAATATAAAATTTGAGATTTAAATCTATCTATTACATATATTTTAAAATTTAAACTTATCTAACGTAATGAATAGGATGGTGAGCATCACCATCACTTGAGAGTGGTGAGCAGAAATATTCACAAAAAAATTTAAATACCATGTCTATTATTTTTAAAACAGTAAAACATAAGTTAAACTATCGTTGGGCTAAAATCAAAAGTAAGATATGCATTCACTAGTAAATACTTAAGTATTATAATTATTTTAATTATCATTTTTTGGAGTTAATTTGATCTAGCAGGTGGCAGAACAATTGATGATTGTACATGACGAATACTTGGATGGGAACCATTAGGCCATCCCCAATGGAAATGTCAAATTATGACAATCAATTACAATTGATGGCTGATGTAGCCATCTGAAGTTTTATGTCAAATTTTGTGTTTTTCCAATTAAATTGTCAAATATTATTTTCTTATAAATGTAAGCTTTAATTTATAGGAAAACTAATGAAAATGACTTGAAAACTTTGAGTTTTAACAAAAATGACAAAATCAAAGGTAATGTGAATAGTACCATGATTGACTTTTTAATGTAAAAATGTGGTTTTTCATTAAAGTGAACAGTACCGGAAATTTTTCGTTAAAGTTTCCTTAAATTATTGTATTTATTTAAAAAAATATTGAAACAAATTTTTATTCACTTAAATACTAGCGGAACAAGCGACTCACCATTAAAATTAATATAAAAAAAATTTGGCGTTGGAGTCAAATTTGACTCTAACCACAAAAGCATTACAATTCAGTTAACAAACTGCACACAAATAATTAATTATTAGCCATAATTAGCCTGCAAATAATCTATCATAATTATCATATGATCTCACAAGGATGAAGGCAGAAGGATCAATTTATTTATCTTTCAAGAAAAAATTGCACAAATGGCATCCCATAACTTTCCTCTTTACAGTTAACTACCCAAGCTTCATTTTCATTTCCTCTATAATGTATGCAAAATGCAGGAAAATAGTTTCTTTGGAATGCCTTGGGTTACCATATTCTTTAACCTCATCTCTCTTTCCAATTTACTTGTTTTTTTTTTTGGGTGAACATTTGTGGGGGAATACAACACAATGACTTTTTAGAAGGTCACCCTTCCTAATACTATTCTCGTCCAAACTTGCTTAACTTTGGAATTGTGATAGGATCCAGTGCATGTGAGTTGATATGATCCCATCCCCAATTTACTTGTTTATTCCCAGCTACTTAACGACAAGATGCATTAGATTTGGCCCGAGTTTTGAATAACTAGGTCTGCAAATACCATCCAAACTAAAATTGTTTTCATTAGACGGACCCAGTTTTTTCGTTAAAATTTAGTCGAAACATACCATATGCAACATTGAGCCTTTTTCCTTGGGTATTTTTGCTACTTAAATGACCCCTAGATGATGACTTGGGTATACATTCAGTTGATTAATACTCGTAGGACATATCTTCGACTTTTAAAAAAATTTGATTTACATTAATCATTAATGATGTATAAACCAACCAAGAAAATGAAAAAGGTAATTTCCCAATTACCGTTTTCCGGCGTTTCAAACACGGGATCCAATCACCATCTCCGGCGAATGAGGACGATTGTTTAATTCTGCGAACCAGAAAGGACGATAGTATTCGCCGTGAGGAGGGCATTCAACTTCTGTGAGGTTATGAAGTTCCATGTAAACACTGTGCTAGTATATTGATAAATTAACAGCTGCATATTTACTTGAGGACATAGTAAAAGGGTGATTCTGCATCCACATATTACTTCAAATCCTTACTTTTTTCATCATTTTTATTTTACTGACCGGGAGTAAAAAGTTAACGGATAACATATAGTGGAACAAATGGGCAAACATATCACACAATGCCGAAGCCATGCAACTCTTAGAAGGAGACTAAAACAACAACCCAGTTTTCAATCTCCGACCGAGACATCACCGCTGTCCCACAATCAGGGAAGACCTCAGCCAGGAAATCTGACATTGCCAAATCCATACTAGCTGAGGCTCAGCATGGAGGGGATAAAAAAAGCATGAAAGAAAGGGGCGGAGCATATCAAGCGGGAGAATCAGATGAAATAAAATTCGACTTAAAAAATCTTCGAGGCAACTCATCAATAGTACTCAGCCGATGATCATCACGAAAATGAGAGACATCGTCACAAAAGAAACATCAGAGAAGAACTAAGAAAAGCAGAGAGATTTTCATTTTATAACCATCAAGGAATTGCCTGGCTCTTGGTGTTGGAATAAAGGCAGATAACTTCCATCAAAATTTCCAAAATTGGTTTTCACAAGCAGTTGAAATTGAACAAAAGAATCTCCAGAACTAAGGTCGACTAGCTAAACCCCGCTTAAGAGAACTACAGAACAATTCCGGCTAAACAACGGATATGGTTGAATTTTTAAGTTGAAAGAGTATAGACAACGTACAACCATAATTTAGAATTAAAAATTCAATCGTACAACCAACATGATCAGCAGAAAAAGGGAAGTGAGTTCCGTACTCCCCTTTTCGCTCCTGCGCTCCTCTTGCATTAAATGAAACGAGAATCAAGGAACAGAAACAAGGAGAGCGGTGTCAAACGAAGAAAACAGGAGTGTGAAAATCACAACGGGCGTAAAACCACATGCCAAAAACATACCAATAAGAACACCATTGCATCATCGTCGCCAAAACCAACATTTCTTTCATTCAACAAGCAGCATATAACAACTAGTTCCACCAACAACAGCCTCAAAAGGGTTGCAAGCTAAATCCAATTTAATTGGAACAACTAAAATTATAGCCCAAAGAAGTAAAAAGGTTAAAAAAAAAACAGAGATAATTACTGTACAAGCACAAGGCGGTTACCCATACCTCCTCTGAAACCCCCGCCCCCATTCCCGTCGCCACCGCCCCAAACCTCTCCGCCACCATCACCACCGTCCGAATTCCCCACCCCCTTGGCCTTCGGCACCGTCACGATAAGCTCCCCGTCAACAAAAACCGCGCTGGCCAGCTCGGGCCGAGTCGATTCCGGCAGCCTAAACCTCCACATATCGAGTTCCAGCTCGTCCAACGTTAATTCCACCGACCCACTTTCCCGAACGACGATTTTGGTCACCCCGGGATAGATTTCGACGGTATGGGCCCTGACGTCGTCGCCGATATTATCGGCTTCGGCGACAAATCGGAAGCAATCGGGGTTCTCCTGGACCAGAACGTCGGCGTCGGATCGAAAGGGGAGCTCCAGGACCCGGCTGAAGACATGGGGGAGACGGCGGAGCTTCTTGTGGTTCGGACCCAAAAGTGCCTGCGCTTCAGAAACTGAGTTTCTTGAGCTGTATTGGACGGTGATGTTGCGCTTCCTGGGCATGGGGTGGACCTTCATGGTTTGGGCGGTTTCAGTGGCAGTTACGGCGGCGGTGGCGGTGGTTGTGCAGAAGAAATAGAGGGATTGGGACAAGATTAATAGAAAGATGAAAGATGCCCTTCTTCTGGAAAAGGCAGTCCAACCTTGGGTGGGAATCAGAATCCTGATTGGGTGGTTGTTTTTATCAAACGGAGGAATCATAAAGGATTGGTGGGAAATTTGATTTGGGAATTTCTTGGGTTTTGCTTGGTGAGAAATACTCTAACCCTAGAAATTGGATAGGATTGAAATTGAATTGGATTGGATTGAATTGAATTGAATTTTTCCCAATTTCTCTCTGATAATGAGATAATGGGGATTGAAATTGCAAAAGGGAGTTATGGAAATCTCCCTTTCTGGGTAAGCAAAGTGGCTGCAGAGCCCATTGGAATTTGGGGGGAATCACAGCAAAATATATAAAAGGCAAGATGGTTTCGGTTTCATCCTTGGAGTTTTACTGTAATCCCAATTTTGGTCTTCTTTTTTTTCAATTATTTTGGACCATTCAAACTATTTATAGCTTTTTTGGTGTGATTTGACAAAAGTAAAAAAAACAAATTATTCTTTCTGTAATTATATAATAATACAGATGCATAGGGTGTAATTTCTTAGTAATTGTAAGTCGCCCTCTAAGCTCATGACTCCTGACCCAATTTGTGAAATCCTTTGGTTTGCATGTTTTCGTTTTTATTATGTCATAACTTCGTAAACATGTTTGTTTGTTTGTGTTTTTTTTTTTTTTTTTTTTTCAGAACCAACTTTGTGAACATTTTTTGGGATTTCTTATGATTTATTTTTAGTGGAGCACGAGTGATTTATGCGTACCAACATGTCCTTGTGAGAAGAACAATTGGAAATGACTGCTTACTATTATTTTCTAGATTGAGGAGCAAAAGAAGGGAAAGTAACACACATGCAACCATTATAATGTGATTATAACATTCCGTGTTAATGATACAACGGTATACAAAGAAAAATTATACATGACACTATGATGGTTGTATGCCTATGACATAAAAGTCTTTCTGATTAAAGTTTGTTGTATCTAATGCTCTAGCGATCAGTCATTTATCTTCTTCCTTTTAAGAAAAAGAATAAATAATGTTAACCACATGAGTTACAAATTCTTTGCTACTACTTTTTTATTTATTAAAAAAAATCATGATATTCAATATAATAATCTCCCATCATAATATTCAACCTAATATTTAACACAATTTCCACCATAATTTAAAAATGTCATGACTAGTCTTATCCTTCAAGACACGGAATGTGACATCCCACATCACCTAGAGGAGTGATCCTTATACGTATATTCCCATCTCTACCTAGCACGAGGCCTTTTGAGAGCTCACTGGCTTCGGGTTCCGTAGGAACTCTGAAGTTAAGCAAGAAGGGGGCTAGAGCAATCCCATGATGGGTGACCCATTGGGAAGTTGCTCGTGAGTTCCCAAAAACAAAACCGTGAGGGAATGGTAAGCCCACAATATCGTGCTACGGTGGTAGAGCTTGCCCAGGAAGTGGTCCCCCCCGGGCGGGACATCCCACATCACGCAGGGGAGTGATCCTTATATGTATATTCTCATCCCTACCTAGCACGAGGCCTTTTGGGAGCTCATTGACTTCGGGTTCCGTAGGAACTCCAGGGCCGGGAAGTGATCTGCCTCGGGCCGGGATGTGACACGGAATACCTCAAATTTCAAGTTTCGACAAAAATGAAAATACAACAATCTCCCATCATTATCTTTTTTTGTTCGAGCTCGTAGATAAGATCTCTAATTCCTCACTCCAAATCCTAAACCTAGGATCTATTATAATTTATAATTATAACAACAACAATACAATATATGATTGAGAAAACCAAATGTTGGAACTGTGTTTTCTGTGGGACTTGGAGTCCCACATCGCCCAAACATGTTTCTCATTTAGTCTTTATAAGTGAGTTCACTCACTTATAGTTTGAAAAGAATTGGGCCAAAGCCATGGACCTTGGGCCTTAGAATTGGAGAGTTTGGGTGTATATATTAAATGTCAAAGATGGGCCTTGGGCCTTGGGGCTCTTGGGCTCGGATGGACGAAAAACACAAGTTACGTTTTTGATTTTTTGGATTCGGTTTTTGACAGTTATGATCAGTTTTTGTGAAAGGTTGCATTCAGTTTTCTTTTTACAAAAACTTGATAAGAATGAACGGTTGGAGAAGTTCAACTGATGCCATTATATATATGGCAATAAAACTCAGAAACAAATATCAAGTTTTCCAGATTTATTCCTTCATATTCCGCTGAGAACCACACAACCAATTCGCCAAGAATCCAAGTTCGAGTGCAAGAACTTGGATTAGATAGTTGTATCCTGCAAGATAGACGTCCATCGAACTGCTGCACAAGTGTAGGGACGAGTTTCTGTCTTAGGAGATTGCTCTGCAAGCCTCTATCGTCTAAGAACAAGTCAGTGATTTGTGTTTCTATATATAATTACACTAAGTGTTTATGTTTTAATATATTGTGTTTGTTGTTGCGTTTTACCATTTGTAATAAAACTGTGCAAATTTGTTGTATAATACATACTTAACATTTGATTGTTTCTAACAATCTAAGACAGAAACTATGGATCAATCAAATGTTGGTGTTGTCAAGCAACATGTTGAGAAACCTGAGAAGTTCAAGGGAGTTGATTTCAAACGTTGGCAACAGAAGATGTTGTTCTACTTAACAACTCTGAACTTGAGTCATGTGATTACTTCTGAGTCCCCCAAAGCACCAGAAGAGGGAGACATTCCTGCCGAAATTCTGCAGGCTATAGAAGCCTGGACTCACAGTGAATTTCTATGCAGGAACTACATTCTGAATGCTCTAGATGACTCTCTGTATGATGTTTATTCATCATATAAGACAGCGAAAGATCTGTGGGAGTCTCTGGATAAGAAGTACAAGTCTGAAGTGGCAAGTTCCAAGAAGTTTGTAATTGGAAAATTTCTGAATTACAAGATGAGTGACAACAAGTCTGTTGTCAAGCAAGTTGAAGAACTCCAAGTGATTGTTCATGAGTTAGATGAAGAAAATCTTGGTCTGAAAGAAGGCTTTGTGGTTGGCTCTATCATAGAGAAACTGCCTTCGAATTGGAAGGACTTCAAGATTTATCTGAAGCATCTAACTGAAGACATGAACATGGATCAGTTGATTCTCAAACTGCGTGTGGAGGAGGATCATCGAAAAAATGAGAAGTATGATGTCTCATCGCTGGAGGCAAAGGCCAATGTTGTGGAAGGAGGTGACTCACACAAGGCAAGGCACCATCAGAAAAACAAAGGCAAGGATGCTGCAAAGAAAGCAATGACTGCTGTGAAAGGGAAAACCTTCAAGAAAATCAAAGGAGGTTGCTGGGTTTGTGGAAAGACAGGTCATAGGGCAAAGGATTGCCGCCATAAGAAGGATCAGAATTCTGGAAGTTCCAATCAAGCAAATGTTGCAGAAGACACATTTGTTGCTGTTGTCTCTGAAGTCAATTTATTGACTAATTCAAATGACTGGTTTGTTGATACAGGAGCAACAAGGCATGTGTGTGCTGATCGAAATTTATTTGTTACTTACCAATCTGTTGATGGTGGAGAAAATCTGTACATGGGAAATGCAACTGCGTCTGCCGTTGCAGGGAAGGGAAAAGTGACGCTCAAACTCACTTCCGGAAAAGAGCTTTCACTTACCAATGTTCTGCATGTTCCAGATATTCGTAAGAACCTGATTTCTGGATCACTTCTGAGTAACAAAGGTTTCAAAATTGTGTTTGAATCTGATAAGTTTGTAATCACCAAAGGTGGGATGTATGTGGGAAAGGGCTACCTGGCTGAGGGGCTCTTCAAAATGAATGTACTTTCTGTTAATGCTATGAATAACAATAACAAGCCAAGTGCTTCTTCTGCTTACTTGATTGAGTCCTCTACATTATGGCATGCAAGATTAGGTCATGTTAATTTTCGTTCTCTTCAAAGAATGGTTAACTTAGGCCTATTGCCAAAATGTTTCATGAACAAAGTATCTAAATGTGAGATATGCACAGAATCTAAATATGCAAGACACTCATATAAATCTGTGGAAAAATCCAACGAAATTCTTGGTTCAATCCATAGTGATCTTTGTGATTTCAAATCCACACCAACTCGTGGAGGAAAGAACTATTATATTTCCTTCATTGATGATTGCAGCAAGTATTGTTATGTCTATTTGATTCATAGTAAAGATGAAGCTTTAAACATGTTTAAGACATTTAAAGCCGAAGTCGAAAATCAACTAGACAAAAGAATAAAGGTCTTAAGATCGGATAGAGGTGGTGAATACGAATCTAAAGACTTTGAAGAATTTTGTTCAACACATGGAATAATACATCAAACAACGGCACCATATACTCCTCAACAAAATGGAGTGGCTGAACGGAAAAATCGTACATTGAAGGATATGATTAATTCCATGTTGAACAGTTCTGGTGCACCACATAATTTATGGGGTGAGGCACTCCTTGCTGCAAATACGATTTTGAACCGAATTCCACATAAGAAGACTAATCAATCTCCTTATGAAATCTGGAAAGGTAGGTTACCTACATATAAAACCTTGAAGGTGTGGGGTTGTCTTGCAAAAGTTCAAGTGCCTCTTCCGAAGAGACAAAAACTTGGACCAAAAACAGTGGATTGTATCTTTATTGGTCATGCCTATAATAGTTCGGCATATAGATTTTTGGTTCATAAATCTGAAATTGCAGACATTCATATAAACACTATACTTGAATCTGCAGAAGTTGAGTTCTTTGAGGAAATTTTTCCTTACAAAGATAGGTCATATGTTTTGAACAAAAGAGTACATGAGGTTACTACAAGAAATGATGACGATAATCATGCCTCAACTTCGAGAGTTCAAATCCAAGATTTGGAACCACGAAAGAGTAAAAGAGCAAAAATTGCAAAGGATTTTGGTCCTGATTTCCTCACTTTTGTGACTGAAGAAGAGCCTCAAACTTATAAGGCTGCATTAGAATCGTCTGAAGCACCTTATTGGAAAGAAGCTATTCAAAGTGAAATAGAATCCATCATGCAAAATAATACATGGGAATTGGTTAATTTGCCTCCTGGAAATAAACCAATAGGACACAAATGGATTTTCAAGAGGAAATTGAGACCGGATGGTACCATAGACAAGTATAAGGCTCGTTTAGTTGCCAAAGGGTATCGTCAAAAAGAAGGACTTGACTATTTTGACACTTATTCACCAGTAGCTAGAATAACATCTATAAGGTTATTAATAGCTATAGCGTCTGTGTACAATCTTGAGATACATCAAATGGATGTCAAGACTGCATTTCTAAATGG